GTGCCAAAAAAAAAAAAAACAGAACGGTACTATCAAATAATAATTCGTATTTTCCTATAAGATTTGTATATATGTTTTCCTGTTCCCAAAATAAATAATTTTAAAAAAATAAAAATCGATCCAATGTTTTCAATTTCTTAAAGCTGGATGTTTTTTTTTGAGACAAAAAAAAGTTACTTTGGCGCTCCCCACCATCTTTATCTCTCTCAAATAGCTTTCAAAGGGAGGGCGCTTGCTCCACCGCCTCGAAGAACTATTTCTCTGTCCCTCTTTGTGAATGCACACACAGACTTCTATATATATATATATGTATACAGCTCAGTGTCATTAGCACTCTCTCCCACATCTTCATATATATATATATATATATACATATATATATATGTTCCTCTTTTGATACTTCGAGCCACATTGTAATATCTTCACGGGGAGAGAGAGAGAGAGAGATGGAAAACGGTGACAAGGTTGTGGAGACAGTAATAGTTGGGAACTACGTGGAGATGGAGACAGAAGGGAAATCTGAGGGCATGAAATCTAAGCTGTCTAAGCTGTTTTGGCACGGCGGCTCCGCCTATGATGCTTGGTTCAGTTGTACTTCTAATCAGGTTAGTTACAGCCTTTGATCCTTTTCTGTTCCTCTCAAATTTTTTTACATGGCTTCGGGGAGAGACAAAAATGAGGCTTTGATGAATCTCCCATGTGGATAAAGTTAGTCTTTACGGCGACCCACTTGGAAAAACTCCCCCTTTTGTGGTAAAACGGCGTTCTAATCGCTGATCGATGGACACCAGATTCTGAATAGACCGGCACTTTCGATCATCCCCCGGATGAAAAGTTTTTGTTTTTACGCCGACCCACTTAGAAAAGTTGTCCATTCGGGTCATCGGCCACAATCAGATCGGAAAAAGGACGGTGTTTTCTCGACGGCACATGAAAGATGGCCGGTTTCAATAAGACCCAGATGAAAAAAATTTCAATTTCACAATCACCGACGTGATATTATCTCTAATCGATTTGAGTTCGAAATCGTTGGCAGGTGGCGCAAGTGTTGTTGACACTGCCGTACTCGTTTTCACAGCTGGGGATGCTCTCGGGGATCCTCTTTCAGCTCTTCTATGGCCTCTTGGGCAGCTGGACTGCTTATCTCATCAGCATTCTCTACGTCGAATACAGAACCCGGAAAGAGAGAGAGAAAGTCGATTTCAGAAACCATGTCATCCAGGTCTTATAGTTTCACCACAACAAAACCAAAAAGTTCCAATCTTTGGCCGCCCTAAGGGTTTGGGATTCACTTCACTTAACCTGACATGGTTTTTTGTTCTGTTTTTGGGGAACAAATCTGAAGTGGTTCGAGGTTCTTGATGGGTTGCTCGGGAAGCACTGGAGGAATGTGGGTTTGGCATTCAACTGCACCTTCCTCATGTTCGGATCTGTCATACAGCTCATAGCCTGTGCAAGGTACAGTTAACAATGGCATCCTCGTTTGATCCATTTTTTGTTTTGGTGAAATGTATATAATTAAGGATCCAGCTTTTATACATATATATATATATATATATATTTGTGAATTTATGCAGCAATATATATTACATAAATGACAATTTGGACAAGAGGACGTGGACATACATATTCGGGGCGTGCTGCGCAACCACGGTGTTCATCCCTTCGTTCCACAACTACAGAATTTGGTCGTTTGTTGGGCTGATAATGACCACTTACACTGCTTGGTACCTCACCATTGCCTCGCTCTTGCATGGCCAGGTTAATACATTAATCCTTCATCCCTTTTTTTTTATAATATTTGAAGAAAATAACACACGGCCACGTCAGATTTCAGCCCAAGTTTTCATAAATCACATGGTTTTATTGGTTAAAAAAATGTTTGTATCAATTATTCTGCTTTATGGCTCTCGTAAGATGAACATGCATGAGATTATAGTTTGTAGGAGTATCATGTTAGGAGAAAGATTTGTCTGGCTCGTGTTGGTCAAAACATGAACACATTTTGTCTTATTCCCTGTCAGTAACTACATTGGATTTTGTCTTAAGCAACATATATATGGTGGTCCCCCGCGTCCTCCCTACTATAAATTTTATTTTTCAGATTTCGATGCTGTTAATTTATAAATAACAAAACTGTTATTTAGTATATAAATTACCCTACCTTTTTTTTATTATTATAAAGAGAACCGATGGAAAGGCCAACATTAATAGAGTTGAATGATAATCCAAGCATCGATCATTAGTATAAATAAATGTAAAACGTTTAAGAGGGATATGGATACAAATGAATATATGACGGTTAATAATGAGGTTCTAATCTCATTTTATTCATGTACATGTACATATACGTATACGTATACATATAATGTGGAGAGTATAAAAACTGTGAAGGTGGAGGGAGTGAAGCATTCGGGTCCAAGCAAGCTGGTGCTGTACTTCACCGGGGCCACAAACATTCTTTATACGTTTGGGGGACATGCTGTCACTGTGTAAGACAAATATCTTCCCCACCTCCATTTTTTTTTTGTCGTAGTCTCTTTCTTCTCTTATGTGCTCCCGATTTGACCCTCGGCTCTTGGAGCTCAACCGATGTGTTTGAAGGGCAGAAACGTAAATTCCAAAACTACCGAAAAGGACGACTCTCGTGTCGTGTCACGAGCCTTGAGCAAAGCTTATTCTGTGACACGATTAGCCAAAAAAAAAAAAGAGAGAAAATATTATAAAGATATTCCCCGAATCGAGCTCGATGGATGAGCGTGGGAGGCAAAGCGTGTCCGAAAGCCAATCAACTTTTGGCTCTTTATCACTCGCCACTATTGATTGTACACAGAGGCGTGATGGTCGTATACGTACGTGTACATGTACATGGCATGCTTGTGGATCATGTGCAGTGTACCTAACTCTCTTCTATTAGAAAGAAACCCTCACATGTGCATGCTTGTGGATCATGTTCAACATTTGAAGAAATAATTCAGGCTAACTTTTAAAGAAAGGTTAATTATAGATTTGCATTGTTGTTGTTCGTGAATCAGGGAGATCATGCATGCGATGTGGAAGCCGCAGAAGTTCAAGGCGATATATCTGATGGCGACAGTGTACGTATTGACGCTGACACTTCCATCGGCGTCGGCTGTGTATTGGGCATTCGGCGATTTACTTCTGAACCACTCCAACGCCTTCTCTCTCCTCCCGAAGAACCCCTTCAGGGACATGGCCGTCATCCTCATGCTCATCCACCAGGCACGCACACATGCATTTTCTCCTCATCTACACACGCACACACATTCATATATATATATATATATATGTATATATATGGTGATTTTGATTCATGTGCTTATAATGACGATGATGGATGCATGAATGGAAAAATGGTTGGGTGCAGTTCATAACGTTTGGATACGCATGCACGCCATTGTACTTCGTGTGGGAGAAGCTGATAGGAATGCACGAGTGCCGGAGCCTATGCAAGAGAGCAGCGGCCAGGCTGCCGGTCGTAATACCCATATGGTTCTTAGCCATCATCTTCCCTTTCTTCGGCCCCATTAACTCCACCGTCGGGTCTCTCCTCGTCAGCTTCACCGTCTACATCATCCCCGCCCTCGCCCACATCTTCACCTTCCGCTCCTCTTCTTCTCGTGAGGTACATACCCTTTTTTCTTCTTTATCAGATAACTTCAATACTTAAAAGATCAAGGGGGCTGGTTCAAGTTGAAATCTTTTTTTGGAATTTGGGTTGGACAGAACGCGGTGGAGCAACCGCCGAGATTGGTGGGAAGGTGGGTGGGGTCGTTCACGATCAATGCCTTTGTGGTGGTGTGGGTGTTGGTGGTGGGGTTCGGGTTCGGGGGCTGGGCCAGCATGATCAATTTCGTTCACCAGATCGACACCTTCGGTCTCTTCACCAAATGCTACCAATGCCCTCCTCCTCTTCCTCCTACTCCGCCCCACTTCAACCACACCCGTTCTCTTTGATCCGCCTCGGCCTGTTATCCACTTGTCGCCTCCACCACAACTTCTAATCTGTCTTCAGGGGTGAGTTGACAGTTCATCCTGTTCTCCCCACCTAGTCGTCTTTGGTTTGTCTATTTGGAATAGAGCTGGAATTGAGAGAAGAAAACAAGAACTGCATCACAAGCGTGTGTTTTGCTAGCTGTATCACATTGTTTTCCCCAAGAAAAAATCTTTGTAGAAAAAAAATCGATTTATTGGAGTTATTTGAAACGGGTTTATCCTTCATCCATCTAAATATGAAGGAGGTTTACAGATGAACTCCCGATACCATGGTTAATAGTTGATGGATAAATTCGAATGATAGCACTTAGAAATTCACTGGCAAACATACGGCAGATGGGATAAGACGGTATCTAAGGTTTGATATTCAGAGATTCTCCTGCAAAGATCCGACTGTTAATCCACAAGATTCATTCCCAAGGATATCCAGTTCTGTATTACTGCCTAAAGATTCACATGGCATAATCAATGACGCATGTTTCTGCGTTATGACTGTTCATCGAATGTAAAATCTGTCTCAAGCACATGATTCAAATCCTGCAAGATTGGAAAACTGAATCCTTTGTATGATCACAAGACATCTGAACAAACATATCCCCTAATGATCATCGGATCCCAGGAAGCATTCCATCAAATCAAAACCAAGCTGAAGAACGGAAACAACCATATCCGGAACCATATAATCCGACTCAAACCTTCAAATCTGAAACAAAATGTTGTGTATGAACACTTGAAACAGAGCAAGAGCTTTCACATACACCCAAGAGAGACTAAAGCTTCGTACTCATCACAAGCACCACAACAACCAAACCCAGATCCTAAAATGAAACCGCAGACGAAAATAAATGGAAAACGAACAGATAACAGAGACCATCAAAAGGATAACCGGATAATATCGATAATACGCGGCGAGAGGACGATCTTTTGGTGCGACAAAATGAAGGATCGATCTACCTTTCTCCACCGCCTACAGGCCCATTTCAACGACCGCCACCGGGGCAATCCCTCGCGAAATGCCCGGACTCGCCGCAGTTGTAACAGCTCCCGCCACCGCCACCGCCACCTCCACCATACCTTCCTCCGCCTCCGTAGCCACCTCCACCATAGCCACCGCCACCGCCACCGTATCCACCGCCACCGTATCCACCGCCTCCTTGGTTGCAGTCCCTCGCCATGTGGCCGGGCTCCCCACATTTGAAGCACGCGCCATCGCCGCCCCCGCCTCCGCCTCGACCTCCTCTGCCACCATATCCACCGCCGTATCCACGACCACCGCCTCGGCCTCCGCCTCCGCCCCTACCTCCGCCACCGCCGTAGCCACCGCCGCCTCCACCGAAAGAACCACGGCTAGTTCCCTGGACGGGAGCACCGTCAGGGCCGGAGACGTCGACCGCCTTGGGGCGGTTGTTGTTGTCGACCTCTACATCGAACTCGACCGCCTCGTCCGCAGCCAGGCTGCGGAATCCCTCAGATCTGATGGAGGACTGGTGGACGAAGAGATCCTCACTGCCGTCTTCGGGGGTGATGAAACCAAAACCCTTCTGGCTGTCAAACCACTTCACAGCCCCCCTTCTACGCTCGCCGCCACCATCACCGCCGCTCATTCTGATAAACTCTCCGGCTTCTCGCTATCTCACGCTGAAACAAAAACCCTAGAAATTTAGCGATCAGATCTCGCACCCTCTCGAGGGGAGGCGAGTGCTGTTTATATGCGCAGGAGAGGTGTGGAAAGGGTATGAGTGCCACGTTTGATGTTTTTTATTTAATTTTATTTTTTATTATAATTAAAATTAATTTTATCCAGGAAAAAAACTACCAAAAACTACAAATGTTAAATTCTATTTTCAATTCAGATTATTGATTAAACCGAGTTGTTTTTTATTCATCCTTATCTGATAAATTTAAACTCTTGTATCTAAAATAGAAAACAATAATTAATTTTAAAAGAATATTTGTGCAAGAATTTGAAGGGGGCGTTGTATTATTTTTTCCTTTTGGGGAAGCGAAAGGGTCCACAGCCGTTGGATCTCGACGGTCGGGGCTGCTTTGCAGAATGGATCTAAGCCGTCGGATTCAGATCTCACCAATAGATTTTCTTTATTCCAAAGTTTCCGAGTAAAATGCGTTCTTGTGGACCGAAATGCAAATATGATAAGATTAACAAAGTTTACCATTTGGGCCATAAAATTTTAAATATGGCAAAATATCCACCGGACAGAGGCTATTTTTTTTTAATCTTTTTCCAATTACTATATGTTATAGTTATCTGCTGCGGTCAACACTAGAGTTGACTCACGTTGGCAGGTATCTTGGACTGGCCCCACGTTTTGGGAATGCAAACTGCGTGTCGTTTTGTTTATCTATATACATATTTTCAGATAGGCCCCTATTACTTTTAATATTTGTAGTCAAAGGTTGTTGGTCAAACTAGTGGGGCAGAATTTAAAGATGGGACATCCCTCTTTTTTTTTTTTTTTTTTTTTTTTTTTTTTAATTCATTTTTGAGTTAAATTGTAAACCTCTTTCTCAATCCATTGTTCCAATATAAAATCTTTAGAACAGGTGACACTACAATTACATTTTATATCACTCGTGAATCCTTTTTCCTTACTTTGTCAAGTATATTTGGCAATATATTAATTTTGTATATTTATTTGCAATATAGTTTCATAAATTTATAAAAAGTATCAAAATTTTACCAACCGTTTTGGTTTTGAGTAAATATAATTTTACATTGCAAGTACATAACATGTCTAAAAATTGGAGTAATCGTTATTAATAATAAGAATGGGAATCGACGCGATAACCATCTTTTTTTTAGAGGTGGGTATGGGTCGGGTACCCTAATTTTTAAAAAATTCTGTCTCATTTTTATCATCACGGATTTTATAAAATATTATCTTAATTTTAGATTTATAAGATCCGGATATTTATAACTCGGGTTTAATAAGATTTTCGGTCTTGTATTCGGATATCGAATCCATAAATCTTATAAAATTCTGAACTATGAAATAATAGAAATAGAGAGTATAAATGGAAGAGCTTCACGATGAAGAGAGATGAGTGAGAGTTTGAAAAAAAGATGAATGGTTGATTTAGTTGCATGGAAAAAAGAAAAAAGAAATATAAAATAGATTTTAGAATGATGAATTTTGTAGATAAAAAGGTTGAGAAGATAACAAAAATTAACTAAAATAAAAATATTTTAGTAAATAATAAAAAAACTTAGATAAATATTATAAATATAAATAATATTTTAGATTTTAACAAATATACTGGATATTTTAGATACCCATGTAAAATAATTGAAACACAAATTCAGATTTGAGATCGAAAACTTAGCATCATTAATATTCGATCTCATCATCGTTAATATTTGGATATTCTTTATTCTGATATTTATTAAGTCGGATATATCTAAACCCCTGAATTACGAGTTAAAACGCCCACTTCTATATCGTTTATGTCTCACGTATATAATATGTTTTGGTTCACCCAGCCAAAAACGGCGTCGGTTCATATTTTGGAATTCGATTTTTTCAGCTAAAAGCCTCTGACTGTATCAGAAGTTTCCGCACGCCTAATTACAAAATCATCCGTTCGATCGCCGTTGTATTAGCCGGCGGCTTGCGAGCGGGGCCTGCAAGGATCATCTCTCCGATGTTACTCCAAAAACGAGAGAGAGAGATGGCAAGAGGAAAGAAGAGACCGAGGTCCGGATCCACCCGAGAAACGAGTAATGACCCACCCGATTTCTCCATGTTAGCGTCTCTTTACCCTTCTTTCACGCCCTACATTTTCTTCTCCGGCGGTCGATACGGGATCGACTGGGCGGACTTCATCGCCACCCGTCAACTCACTCGGATCCTACTTCTCCATGACCATGTTGTCTATTGGTGATTTCAATCAATCCCCGCCTCTCATCTTTCGTGCTTTTGTAGTTTAAGGGTCTTCCGTACCTGAAACCTGTCTTTTAGCGTGGGAGGCAAAGCGTGTCCGAAAGCCAATCAACTTTTGGCTCTTTATCACTCGCCACTATTGATTGTACACAGAGGCGTGATGGTCGTATACGTACGTGTACATGTACATGGCATGCTTGTGGATCATGTGCAGTGTACCTGGAACTTTCTTCTCCCTCGCGATTTCTCCGATTCTGTTTCGAGTTTTCTCTCCCGACTTAGATTTGGGTTCATCTTGCTGCACAATGCGTTATTGAACCTCTATGTTGCTATTTGCTTTCAGTATTAGATGTTTTATGTTCTCTAAACACTTTAATAGTTTGGTGAGAGTTTCATTTCCCCATTTGACTGCTCCTCCTTCTTGCTGTGTCGGTTCCTGTCGTTAGTCTACTGATCTTGTTCCAAAAGCCAACCCCTTTGGCAGAACGGTTACAGGGTTTATGGGAATTCTTTGTTAGTAATAGCTATGTGATGGTTTCAGTGTTCAGCTAAAGATGACTGATTTCTCTTTGCTCCATCATTTCATGGAAGTAGATTTGTTGAAGGCTAGAGTATTGTAGAATTGTGTTTGTATAGGTGGATTCCTGATGGCTTGCTCTACCCAACAGATCGAAGTATACCCATTGGATTGACGATGTTTTGTCATCCGATATGTTCAAAACCCCGGTGAAAATGGAGGTAAAGTAAGGGGCTTTGTTATAGGAACTGGGCCAAACATATCGCATTTACGCTCTCCTCTGCTCATCCCTTCTAGGCTGGGTTTTTGTTCGTTTTCTTCGTGTGCCGCTTCTTAATTGGTTGTCGTTGTGATGGTTGCAGATGTTACTGGCGAAGATCTAGAATGGGCAGAGAAGACTATCAAAGGTAATCCTCATATTGCAGACCTGATCGAGGTCAGAAAGGTCCGGGGGATCTTGACACTGGGAACGGAGAGAGTGAGGTTAACGTTTACAGAACCATATCCAAAGAAAGCTCAAAGTCCAAAACTTTGCCTCTGGTTAGCGTTCACATATGGAGAATCTCCTCAGGTGATATATATATTTACTCATGAATATGAATACACAGAACTTAATCTTACACCAATTGGTTCATACACAAGAAACATTTGAAATCATGCACAAGAAATCCTAACACAGCCACACATATACAATACAAGTCCATGCAAAATTTTCAAGCCTTCCCTTCAGCTCTTGCATATGTGAGCCCGACGCAAGCTTCTACGAAATCTTTGTCGATAAAGTCCGTAGACAAGATCTGAAGCTTATCGGCACACCCTCTTTTGACACATTCGGTTATGAACAGCCTGGCATAGCCATGAATCCGATTAGTCACCGGTTTAACACACAAAACCGGGTTATCTGCCTGAGGCGTGGCTGTATTCTCAACCCGGTAGAAGAATTTGCGTGAAGAAACTGGCGGCTGCTCGCTCAGATGCTTCAGATTGCTTTCGAATTTAGTTGAAGGGAGATCCGTGTCGATCCAGTTATCTTTCAGGTACCCGGCACTCCACAGTGGATCTCCATGTTTAGGTTGAGGTGATTTCCGCGGTTTCCAGATGCAGATCACTCTCTTGGGCAGTAGCTCAGCCACTTTCTTGCTGAACACGCTATCATCCTGAGGAATGAGATGTTCACCCAACTGCTCCACCAGATACTTATCGAACTCTGGAGGGTCGTCCTGTCCAAACTCGGTTCTGATCTCGAGAATCACAACCTCGGACTGTGTCTCGGACAGATAACGCTTGAGGTCGTTGAGGACAACGTCAACACTGTAGGTCTTGAGGATGCCGTGGCAGACACGGCGGTCCTGTTGAACTCGGATGTCCAGGACGCGGGCTCCGGCCACGAGCTGGCCGTAGATGGAGAGGGACTGACACTGTGCGAAGGGACGGGAAACGAAGGGAACGCCGATCTTGTTGGTGGCTGAGTCGTGGGTTCCGGGCCAGACGATGTTGCTGACGAGGAGCTTGTCGGGGCCGATACCCGACATCCAGTTCTTGAGATCGGAGGGCTTGTAATCGCAGCCTGGGAAATCACAGCCGCATGAATTCTGCAGATCGGAGAGTGCCTTCTTCTCTGTGGAAATTGCTTTCCGACGCTCGAGCTGCTTCGAGACGTGAGTCCCCATTCTGTGCCTGCGTCTGTGGTTTTGTTTGATCGATCGTAGATGATGAAGGTCACACAAATAGACAAATAAATATATAAACATATATATATGTATATATATAGAGAGAGAGAGAGAGTCTTGGCAGGAGAAGAGGATGGAAGAGGAGTGGATGAGGTGGATCGAGTTCTGATTGATGAAGCTGGTTGGTCCACGTTCACTCTTGTATGCTTCTCTCCCACTTTCTTGTTCTATTCATTTCTCTATTAACTCTATAGCTGCCATGAAAGATACTTCTTTGCTCCAATATCACGTTTTTTTTTTTCATTTTTGGTTTTTTCTTCTGCGTGGCTTCCACACATATTTACAAATTTTTATTTTTATTTTAAGTTCATTCATATCTTAACTTTTATTTAATAAAATCAACAAATATTAATGGCTCTCGACTTTGGCCTTGCATGTATTTACGTACTAACTACGGTTTAATATTATCGTTTTGAGTTTTTGAAATAGACTAGAGATTTAGAACGTGGCCTAAATTTTGAAACATCACACTCAAAAGAAAAACTAAGGCAGGCTGATTAATTACAAAGAGACGAAGACTAACACGTGAATCCAACCCAATAATTAGTGTTCTAGTGAGAGGTGATAAAGTCGGTCCTATATTTGATTTCACTGTGATAAAAGATGTAATTTCTGTGTCAAAATGGTTCATATACAAACGTTGATTCCGGACCTATGATATATATAGTCAGATCGAAAGCTGTATAGTCGGACCGAAAAAAAAATGTGAATCCAATAACTGTAAACACCTTCGAACAATGAAAGCCTCTTTTTTTTTTTTTTTTATTAGACAATGGGGGAAAAATAATCTTACACGTTGGTTTTCAGCTCTGAAACCCTAAGAAATCCTCTGGAGTTAACTGAAAGTCGCAAGCTCATCAAAAAACGTACAGAATCTCTGTTTCTGCACGGTTTCATGGATACGATTCCAAAAATAGGCAGAAACCTTTACAACATGTAACGCTGATGAAGAAGCATTGTCTTCTTCCATTCGTGCAGCCAACGTCTTCTTGATCTTTAAGGGTTCTACCGTGAGAAACCTGGAAACATTTACGGCAAAACTCACAGAAACATCATGTGTCAGAACATCCCGAGGTTATGATGAAAATTCCTTTCCCGTTAGGGCAACCAGATTATTCAAAGCCGAGTATATCTCCTGTTTATGCGTATGCGACCCATCTGCAACTGTAAAGGCGTGAACTTTATCCTCGATCTCAATCCAACTTAGAGCTTTTCCTTTCGTCGGCTCTCTCTTCTCCACAACCCTTCTCAGTTTCTCCACCGATTCCCATTCTCCACGCATTGCATAAATGCTCGCTAGCAATATGTACGGTGCACTGGATTCAGGGTCTAGTTTGATAAGCTCTTTCGCGGCTTCTGTACCGAGTTCTACGTTTCCACGAATACTGCAGACTCCTAGGATTGCGTTCCAGATACGTTCATCGGGCTGGAAAGGCATCGTCTCAATCTGCTTCATCAATTCACTGAAACGACCAGCACAACCCAAGAGATCTATCAAGCAGGCATAATGTTCTTCGTCCGGAACAATCCCCTGGTGACGAGTCATGGACTCAAACCACCTGAGTCCTTCCTCTATTAGCCCCGAATGACTGCAACATGCGTTCAGAATTACAACCAGAGTCGTCCGGTCGGGATGGACTCTGGCTTTGATCATATCATCAAGTATGTGCATTGCCTCGTGGCCAAGGCCGTGTTGTGCCAACGCAGATATCAACGTATTCCACAAAACACAGTCGTGTTTGTTAGTCGTGAGATTGAAAACCCGCTTACCGGCATCTAAACTCCCAGATTTGGAGTACATATCAATCAAAGAACTAAGAACAATCGTATTGGGTCTTACATTTGTTCGAAGCATGTAGCCATGGATTTGTTTCCCATGTTTGAGAGAAGCTATGCTCGCACAGGCACAGAGACAACTGCTTAAAGTGAACTGCTCCGGTTCCATCCCCAAAGCCATCATCTTTCCAAACAATTCAAGAGCTTTGTACCCTGAACCTTGTCTAACGTGTCCTGCAATCAATGCCGTCCATGAAACAGGATTTTTCTCTGGCATCTCGTGGAATAACGTCTCAGCCGATTCCACATCGCCAAGTTGCGCATACCCCGAAACCAGAGCTGTCCAAACGTAAATATCTTTCACTGGCATGTGGTTGAAACATCTTCGAGCATCGCTCATCTCACCACATTTAGCATAAGCGTCGATAATCGAACATGAAAGAACAACATTTGTCAAAAGACCAGCAATCAGAACCTGGCCGTGAGCCTGCCTAGTGAGCTCCAAGTTCCTCGATTTGACACAAGCCGTTAAAAGCCCAGCAAAGCTGAACTCGTTGCATCTGATTTCCGATCTCCTCAACTCTCTGTAGAACCCTAGAGCTTCACGCAAATCCCCATTATGGGCATACCCAATCACCATGGTATTCCACGAAACGACATCCCTCTCGGGCATGCTATCGAACAGAGCTCTTGCCCGTACCAACATCCCTGATTTTACATACCCCGAGATCATATTGTTCCATGAATACAAGTTTCTAATATGCATTTTATCGAACACCTTACGAGCATCGATGTGTTTGCCACACTTCATGTACATCCCAATCAGATGATTGGACAAAAGGGTGTTGGCTCTCTTGAATCCCGTTATCTTCAAGTGAAGATGGATGCATTTCCCTTCCCTCAGAGACCTCGTGTCCGCGCACCGCCGGAGCAAAGACACTAAGACTTCGACGGGTAAGCGAACGCCTTTTCTCGTCAAGGACTCGAGACGAGAGACTGCGTCAGAGAGCTGAGCGTTGGATGAAGGTCTGCTAAACGATCCAACGACGCGGATTGGCCGTTTCCTCGGGTTTCCGATGGGCATTGGAGGGAGAATCCACCATGTGTGGAGTACCTTCTCTCCGGTTAAGCCTTATTCGGTCGCTTCTACTTTCGCTCGAATTATTCGTCCACGAAGGGGCGGCGCCGGATCTCCGGCGGAAAGATGATTACGGAAGCTCCGCCGTCGGATGGGTTGGTCATCGGATCTGGTTTTGGGCTTTACAGTCTACGGCCCGTAGAAACAAAGACACTTTCATTGACCCATACATATATATCCTTTTCCATTTTGTAAAACCCTAATCCATAAAAATTGAATTTTACATTTTTGTATAGAAATTTGATCACTGGAACTTCAAACATGATTGTTGTGCCGATCTTCCGCGGAGAAAAAAAAAACGAATTTAGTTTCGATCTAAAATTTCGATTGTTATGTATGATTGTGGTGAAGTTAATAAATAAATAATTAGCTAGAGATATCAATTAATATTGGTTTCTTTCGATTTTTTTTTAGTTTTAACTAATTTACTTTGATATTGTTAATTTTAAATATTTTTATAGAATCTTTTTTTTTTATCTCTAAACGTATATCATCATTATATTATTTTTTTGCGATTGTGTTTAGATTATAAAATAATAATTAATATTTATTATTAAAAAAGTTATAAGGCCGATCCACCAAACCCACCACAAGCCCCATAAGGATCATTATATTACTTTACATTTTATTTTGGATCGATTCAATTTTAATAAAATGAAAACGCCCTTTTTTCTTTCAATAGTGGATAACAGTGACGTTATACTCGACGACAGCATCGCCGGTCTTCAGATCAACGGAATGAGTGTTGAGAAGA